AAATTTCATGGCCCCCAGAATATTTTGCTGTTTGAATATCTGAACATGCTATACATCAAAATAAAGATCAGACCCTCTACTTTCAAACAAAAAAATCTGTTTTATTTTAGCTTCAAGCATTGTTTTTTTATCAACACTTGTAGGTAGGTTTCATAAAAAAAGCAACATTTTGAGCAAAAAGCTGAGAAAATCAAATTTTTATCAAATACTGCATCTAGATCATATTCAGTAATATTATCAAAGCAAAGCTGCAGTAGATGGCTTGCATCAGCGCTCCCAAAGCTTCACAGTCTTTTCTGGATCCACATTTCACTCGGGAACATTAGTCAGTTTTCATTTATATGCGGTTAGTGTTGGCTGCATTATTTTTCATATGCATATGCTTACATATGAGATCGCTGGTTTCCGCGTCTTCCTGGTCTGTGTTTTTGATCGAGTGATTCTAGACTCATTCAGGAGATGTGTGATAGCGCCCCCTAGCGTATAACAATGAGAACACAGAAACCTGGAAAATTCCATGTTTGATGGGGAAAGAGTTAATCCCATACACACATTACTGCTGTACTCAGATGAAAGGCTCCTCACTGTCTCGTGTTTGATTGATCAGGACGGTGGCAGCGACAAACATGAACGAGACCAGCAGCCGATCGCACGCCGTCTTCACCATCGTCTTCACTCAGCACCGCCGAGATCAGCTGACCAGCCTCGACACAGAGAAGGTGTGTGAGAGTGTGTGAGTGTGTATGAGTGAGTGAATGAATGAGTGTGTGTGTGTGTCTGAGTGTATGTGTGTGTGTGTTGTTGACATGTCTCTCTGTGCAGGTCAGTAAGGTGAGTCTGGTGGATCTGGCTGGCAGTGAACGAGCTGATTCCTCTGGAGCCAAAGGCGTGAGATTAAAGGTACTAAAACTGATGTTCACATCTGTAATGAAGACTCAGCGTCTCCATCGCTCTCTCACACAAACCCTATTCCTCTGTCCTTCAGGAAGGTGCTAATATCAATAAATCTCTCACCACGCTGGGGAAGGTCATCTCCGCTCTGGCTGAAATGGTGAGACGCTTTACTGAATGCTCCTCGCGTCGCTCCAAACCTGCGAAATACAAGAGTGTTCCAGAAATCTTTAGTAAAATGTTTCTGAATATGATGAAAGTTCATTATGTGGTAAAGAGCAGCCTGGACATTCTGCTGAACGTCTCTTTTATGTTCCACAGAAGAGAGAAACTCATACGGGTTTATATTGAGATGAACTTCCTGTTAGAGAGAAGCTAGCGGTTCATTTATGTACCATTTGAAGTCTGTGAAATGACTGTATTGTTGAGTGTTTCTGTCAGTGATCATGATCTTTATTTCTGCTGTATTTTAATGGTGTGTGTTTGTGACAAACAGCAAAACAGCAAAAGAAGGAAAAGTGAGTTCATCCCATACAGAGACTCGGTGCTTACCTGGATACTGAAGGAGAACCTGGGTAGAATGCTCCTCGCGTCGCTCCAAACCTGCGAAATACAAGAGTGTTCCAGAAATCTTTAGTAAAATGTTTCTGAATATGATGAAAGTTCATTATGTGGTAAAGAGCAGCCTGGACATTCTGCTGAACGTCTCTTTTATGTTCCACAGAAGAGAGAAACTCATACGGGTTTATATTGAGATGAACTTCCTGTTAGAGAGAAGCTAGCGGTTCATTTATGTACCATTTGAAGTCTGTGAAATGACTGTAATGTTGAGTGTTTCTGTCAGTGATCATGATCTTTATTTCTGCTGTATTTTAATGGTGTGTGTTTGTGACAAACAGCAAAACAGCAAAAGAAGGAAAAGTGAGTTCATCCCATACAGAGACTCGGTGCTTACCTGGATACTGAAGGAGAACCTGGGTAAGACACACACACACACACACACACCAGGGCTCTACGGATACTTTTCTTTTTAGGAGCGCTTGTGAGCACGGTCAAAAATGTAGGAGCACCTTCTAATCAGTAATCAAAAATTCTGATAAAAAAATTAACCTTCCAGCATATTTGACTCCTTAAAGTGATTTATAGGGAATTCTGTTTTTACCTTTGTAATGGCATTTTTCTAACTTTATTAAAAGTATGTCATCTTTTATGTAAAAAAAAAAAATATATATATAAGCTTTTTAACATTTCTAATTAAAACAACAGAATAAAAACAAGTAGAATAAGAAGTAGAATAAGAATAAGTTACCAATCAAATGAAATCAGTATTTAAGAAATAAATTTGTGCTACAGAGGTGGCACAGAAGAACACACAAGTGGCTTGTAGGTGTATTTTCAGACGTTTAATGAGGCTCAGAGGTCGCATGAGTGCAATTAAATTCATAAATTCATGTTGAGGTTAATGTTTTAAATATAACATTTTGAATATAGAAATGGTTTAAATAACAGAAAAGATGCTTTAAAAATTAAACTAAAACTGCCAGCAGGCGGCGTCAAGTCACTGATTTTATCACTGAATCATTCATTCAGTTGATTCGTTCGAACGGCTGAATCATTCAGGAACGAAGTGAGCGACTGTGTTTATGAATGGGTAATTGAATCATTGACTCACTAGATTCGTTTAAA